TTGGCAACTGTTTACATTCAACCCAATGCTGTTGCCGAGACTGCGTGTGATGTCATCAGTCCCGAGGTTGCTAAGCTAAAGACACAACACCCTAGTGCGTTTGTTGCAATATCTGGGGATTTTAATCATGCCTCTCTCTCTGCTACACTTCCAACATTCCAACAGTTTGTCAGCTGCTCTACCAGAGAAAACAAAATGCTGGACTTGTTTTATGCAAAATAATAATAAATAAATAAATAATTGTTTTGTTGTTTTTTTTGTTCTAGAATTGTGCCACTCAAGGTGGCTGCATGTTGGAGCAGCTCTGTTACTTTCATTCTGAGATTTCGCTTTTGGAAACTTTAATTCCTCTTTTTCTGGATGTAAGTTAAATTTTTTTTGGATGATTTTTCCTCTGGTATCAGATGCTGTGCAGCTGGAAGGATTTTTACTGAAACTTTTTTAGTTTTGGACATTTGTTATGATGCGTAACCATGGCAACAAGGCAGTTTTCTACAACCAACAGCTGATTAACATCTCAAAAGCTCAAATAATATCTCAGCTATGGCCCCAACTCTCAAATGAGTTGAAAAGAATGTTCTGTGGATGCATTCTCATCTACCTGCCAGCTGTGCTCGAGTGCCTGACCACTGAGATCCTGGAACTAGCAGGAAACACGGCTCACGACAGCGGAAGGATAGGATTGTCCCTCGGCACCTACAGTTGGCTGTCCACAGCAAGGAGGAGCTCGGCAGACTGCTGGGAGGAGTGGCCATCGCTCTGGGAGGAGTTCTGCTCTGCATTCAGGCGGTCCAACAGTACAGGGGAACCGAGAGGCCAGCTGAGTCTGGGTGGACGGATCGGACGGCATCTGCAGCCAGTTTCTTAGGATCCACTGTGGGATGGACCTTTACAAGAGCCATCAGCATCTATAACATCTCTTAATGAAATGAGGATAACAAGTTACAACAACAAAATAATTTCCCTTTGGGATTAATAAAGTATTATTGAATTGAATTTAATTGAATTGAAATGTCAAGGATTCATACATCGCTAAAGCAAGACCCCCTCTTGGCAAATCAGATCACAATCTTGTGTTTCTCTGCTCAAAATATTAACCCCTGGGGTGGCTGTGGCTGAGTGGTTAGAGCAGTCGTCCTCTGATGCGAGAGTTGGGGGTTCGAATCCACCAGTAGTCACATATCGAAGTGTCCCTGGGCAAGACACTGAACCCCTCATAGCCTCTGATGTGTGTCCCATCAGTGTATGAATGTGATCTAAAGCACTGATTAGTCTCTTTAGAATGATTTGTTTCATTAGCTTTGTAGAGATCTAGTAGAGTGCTGTATGAATGGGTAAATGAGGACACAGATTGTAGTGTAAAGCGCTTTGAGTATCTTGAAATAAGATAGAAAGGCGCTATATAAATACAGTCCATTTACCATTTACCATTTACCCTTGTTCAGAGGCAACCTGCAATAAAGAGAACAGTGAGAAAATGGTAAACGGAAGCTGAAGAAGCCCTGCGGGGTTGTTTTGAGGCTACAAACTGGGATGCACTGTGCCAGCCACATGAAGAGGACATCAATGCCATGACTGAGTGTGTGACTGACTATGTAAACTTGGGTGTAAACAACACCATCCCCACCAGAACAGTGAGATGCTTCCCCACTAACAAACCCTGGATCACCACTGGCCTGAAGGAACTGCTAAACCAGAAAAAAAGAGCCTTCGGTGAGGGAGACAGGGAATTATTGAGGAGTAAACAGAAGCAACTAAAAGTCAAGATAAGAAACAGCAAGGATGTGTACAAGAAGAAGCTGGAGAGCAAGCTCCAGCAGAACAATATCAGAGAGGTGTGGTCAGGGATGAAACAGATCACAGGCTTCAAGCAGAAGGAGGATCAGAAGGATGGAAGCCTGGACATGTTCTTCAACAGGTTCAGTTCAGGAACAAGCTCAGCATCCTCCTCTCTTGCCCACAGCCAAACAGACATACCACCCTCCAGTGACCCAAGGCTGTCCTGTCACACCTCAAATATTGTATCTACCACCTCAGTCATGGACCATTCTTCTACATATTGTCTTCAACCAAATCAGAAGATGCTGATACCTCCTTTGCCTCCCCCCTCTGCATCTCCAGAAGTCAGGTGAGGAAGCAGCTGGAGAGACTGAACCAGAATAAGGCTGCAGGTCCAGATAGTGTCAGTCCCAGAGTCCTGAAGGTCGGTGCAGAGCAGCTCTGTGGGGTTCTGCAGCACCTCTTCAACCTTAGCCTGACCCAGGAGAAGGTTCCAGTGTTGTGGAAAACATCCTGTCTTGTTCCAGTACCAAAGAAAACGCACCCATCAGTCCTCAATGACTATAGACCTGTTGC